GGGGAGGAGTCTAAATTGTGACTTCATCTAAAAATGTCAATTTAGGGGACGTGATAAATTAGTAAATAAAACAATAAAATTAAAATGTAATGACTTCACAATTCTCCATTTTCAATTTAGGGAAGATAAATTGAATAGTAAATTTGTAAATAAAATTAATAATCGTCAGGATTATGATTTTACAATTTGGACTTCCTCCTAGCAATGGAGTTAAATAATATCATTATATTTGAGTTTATTACAATATAAGTTATAGGTAACATCTCGCTCACAATTTTGACTTTTCCTTCACAATTCTGCACTCATATCTTGCAATTCTGAAGAAAGCTCAGAACTGTGAGATGCTGCAATTACAGCTGCCGTAATACACACACACCACACTAACTTTGACACACAAATTGACCCACCATAACTAAGCATCTATTGCAAAAACATGGGAGAAAAACATACCATGTCTTCCTTTCCGTTCATTACCTTGCTTCCACAGACATTATGGTATTTCTTCTCCAGGATCTTTTTGACGGCAGATTCGTCCTTGAAAGTGATGAAGACGAAGCCCCTCCTTTTGTTCGTCTTTGGATCCATTGGAAGTTCAATAGTTTCAATCTGCAAGCATCATAATTGATACCGTATTAATAAAAGTCAGAAGACACAAACAAATGTTTTTATGCTCAATAGATTTAAAACTCACCTCTCCGAAGGCCCCGAAGTATTCACGGATCTTCTCTTCTGTGGTTTCAGGGTTAAGGCCACCGACGAAGATCTTCTTGGCGGGCTCTTTCTTTATAGCCATGGCTCTCTTGGGATCGATCTGTCGGCCATCTAGCCTGTGTTCATTTTGCTCCAGCACCTTTCAAAAGAAGAGACGTGAACATCCGCCACCAAGCAAGTGTTTGGATTGAAGGGAAATGAAAGCATACGCACCCTGTCCACACTTTCTGCTTCTTTGAACAAGATGAACCCAAACCCTCGTGACCGGCCGGTGTTTGAATCCATCTTTATGGTGCAGTCCATCACCTCGCCGAACTTTGAGAAGTAGTCCTTTAGGTCTTTCTTACTGGTGTCCCAGCTGAGCCCTCCAACAAACATTTTACTGCACAAAAGAATAAAACAAGTTGACGAGAGCCTGTATTAAACCACAAACAGAGCAATCTCATAACATCACAGACAAAAAGACCGCAACAGTTGGATTTCAAATCAATTTATAAAGCACCTTAAACAGAGTGTACCAGAGTGCTGTACAAATACATAACACAAAATACAAAGATAAAATTACATGAAAATCATGAAATAAATCCAATCACTTTCTTCATAACGGAATAAACCGTTAAAAAAAAACAGGCAAGGTTGGTAATCGGTGATATGCTTTCATTAAAGCCATCAGCACACTTTTCAACTTATTTCATTAAGCAATCAAAGAATTCCCAGTGAATAACTACATTACCCATAATTCTGCAAATGCGCCCAGCAATCAGAAAAACCACAAGCAAATACTCTCAAAACTCATATTTCGCAGTAAACATTGACTCCATATAAACACAAATATAAACTCATTACATCAAGTTATATTTTCCCACTCCTTACCTCAATTGTCATTCATAACACATTACCCGATTGTAGATCTTTCCCTCATTAAAGCTGCCAAATAGACATTCTATAAGATTTTATTTACGTGACTCACAATTCAAGGCTGGTTGGTATGATGTAAGACCATTTAAAAATCCCTATGGAAAAATTAATGGGGGAAAAAAAAATAAAAAAAATCTTGAACTAGTTGAAAAGTGGGCGGGGACTATTGCGCGCTATAGGTCCGATTCTAAAATCTGATTGGACGAGCTCGTGTCCACTTCAACTATATTAAGCTTGGCAACCATAAACAGTCTATCAGCTAATGTTAATGAAGCAAATTACCATGCGGATGAAAAGGGTTTCTATTGTTGGGTGTACCGGCAGATCAAACATCTGCTGCCACCCGCCAGCGAGAGATTCACCCCCAAACAACCTTCATGTCCAACAATGAGCACAACAACCCACCCACCCCCCTCTATTAACAAACACACGGCGTCAAAAGAGACGCCTTAAAACAAAACGTCTACATTAAGCATGAAAACGTAATAAAGCGCTGAATATTCTCACCCGGCATCTTCCTCGCCCCTGCTGGCGTTGATCTGTCCTCCCTCGCCGGGTCCGCTCTCCTCATCCGGGGCCTCCTCTGCGAACTCTGCTCCGTTCAGACTCTCCTCATTCCCGTTCTCGGAGGTTTCCATCAACTGATGCTCTGCGTCGGCCATTTTGGTAGCTTTAGATTACCTTTGGATCAGAAATGGTTTGATTTAGTTTCACAATGCGAGATACTACGGATGATGCTAGAATAATAGAGCAGCGGCATGGCTAGGCCATCGGATTCAACGCAAACGCTCAATTTCAGTCTCAGCTTGATGAAAGCACAAAAAACCAAACGAAATCAGGCTTTAAAGCGTGTTCGAAACGTATGCGTCTCAAAACAAACAAATAAAAAGACTCATTCAGGCCGCGTAACGAAAGCTAAAGCAGCATGCAATGCTAAACTAGCTAAGCGATCGCGTTCGCATTCTTTTTCAGCTACGCCGAACGCATAAAACAGGCTTTTTCGTCTAAAACGGTGTCTTACAGGTATTCTCGTAAAACATAAACTAGCCCAACACAACTAACCACGCGAATAAAATTCAAATTAACCGGCTTACTGTAAAATATTGGCGCTGAAAAAGCCGCTTTCCAAAATGGACTCTCGCTTACAGTACTAACTCGTGGCCACCTTTATAGTACCGGATGAGTCCGGTGGAATAAAACAAGCTGTGATTGGACGACACTGTTTGACCAGGCAATGATAGCGTTATTTGATTGGTCAGAGACGGTGAAGCACCGCCCATTATGGTTTCCTCCTGCGCACTTCTTTTCTGTTGTACGCTCAATAGGTTTAGCACGAGATGTTCCAGAGCGCGTGCAGTATAAAACACGATGGTGAAGGTGTTGTGCATTTAAACACAAGGAATATAAGCGTGTATAAAACGACATAACATCCAGTAATGCTTTAAAAAATATCGTGTTAGGCTTCCCAATCGATTTATACGATTTCCACCAGTCGTCGATGAAGGACTGCAACTCACAGAGGAAATTCTATCGATATCATTCATTTTCGACTTTTCCGTGACCTTTATAGACAATTTTCATGATCAATTTAGGCCCTTTTTTGTATTACCGTCTTGTTTTTTGGACATCATTACTATAACATAAGTACCACCCACATTTCAGTTAATAAAACTAAATCTGCGTCGACTGTTGATATGTTTTTCTCGAAAACAAGATACTGTAACAATATAAGTGCATTATTTCACGAACAGATTCATCCTATGCATGATATAAAGCTGTATTTCAGCTTCCCGAGTGAAAGGTAAATTATGCTATTATAACAAAACGCTCCAAACTGAGGGTGAAATAAAACATTCCTGGACCTTAGTTTGCTGAAATAGTAATATTAAAGTGACAAATGGTTTGCTACTGTAGTACTAAACAAAAACAAATCATATACTTAACCCAAAATCAGCAACACTTTATGTAACAAACATAATCAGACAGCAGGTATATAAATGTGTCAAAGCTTTGCTCATTCACACACAAACTGATAAATAATTGCTACAGGATTCACAGAATCCAGCTTTTTCTTTCTACCTAACTGAGGCAAAACCTCATATACTGTATATACGTCAAGTAGATCATGAGTAATATAACATGTAAATTAACATATGATAGATTTTTATTAGATAAAGAATAATCGCATGGTGAACTGATGTAGTACAAATTGGCATCAACACAAGAGAAAAAAACTAACAAGGACAAAATTGGTATAATTTTTTAAATTCAATTTTCCATATTTTGCATTCCGTTCTTGGAAATGTACATCTTTATCGGGTTCCAATGGTCACCTGCCAAACTCTGATCAGGTTGTCTGTGTATCCAGCAAAGAGAGTCTGAGAAAAATAAATATAGTGTAATTAATACAACTCTTTTTGTTTGTCCAATTGGTTTATATTTAAGATTATACATAGCACACAATGCCACCGATCACCCAGAGATCCAGCATCCAAACTGATGCCGATTATCTGCAGAATAAGCTCATCTCACACACATACACACACATACACACACACAACGCGCGTGGTGTCTGTGGCCTGCGGGAAGCTCTCACCTGTCCGTCAGCAGACCAGGCCAGAGATGTGCACTGGGGCGGCTCAGCCTTGCTGTTAGTGGTGATGACTTCCTGTTTGAGCTCATCAACGATGATCTTTCCCTCCAGATCCTGTGGAGAGACAGAGAGACACAACAGTAATGAGAGAGAGAGAGAGAGAGAGAGAGAGAGAGAGAGAGAGAGAGAGAGAGA